GGAGCTAGTAGGGGCGTTAAAAGACGTTTATAAGAGCGTTTACACGACTAATTTTACAAGGCATTTTGAACCGATGAAAACATACAAAGAAGCAAGCAACGCTTCAATTTTTTTATTCCTGCAGGTTAAACCGCGCCGCTGAAAATTAGAAAATGCCGGTGTTTGGGACGATTTTTGTCATTTCATGTGGACCTGAACAAGAAAATGGGGGACACTCTTCCAAAATCGGGGATAATCAAGAACATTGGGGGCCGGTAGACACCCTGCCTATTGCCAGTGCAGGGTCTCGAAGACACATTGCCTCCGCGTGGACACCGTGGAGAGCGGGCGGGCAACAGGGCAGCGGGCCCGATGGAGCCGCTCGCCTCGGAATTGGAGAAAAACCGCCCGGTTGGAAACTGAATAAAATTTAAACCCGGGGCCGGGGCGGAGGGGGAATTAGTGGACTCGAAAGAAACAAAGAGAGTCGGGGCCCCGGCGGAGGGGGGCGGGGGAGCCGGCACCGGTGCCCGATCTCGGTGTAAACACGGTTGTTCCCCGCCCTGATCGTGCAGGTGGTGAGCCCAACGTGCTGGCCCTCGAGGCCGCTTGGCGGGAGATCGCCTCGGACCTCTTGACCGGCCATGCTTCGCCTTGTTCTCTGCAAAGATACCTGGGGACCACCTCTGCCGTCTTACCCCGAATGGTAAGTGCAAAAATGAAGTTTTGGAAGAATTGGCTCACAATCAGTATCGCCTGAGCGGGCGGAAAAAATCCAAAGTTCCTTAAAATTTTTTGAAACAATACCTGCGATTCCTTGGAGATTTTAGAAAGAAAAAAAAATTCCTTGAAGATTTTGGAAAAAATACAATTCCTTAAAGATTTTGGAAAAAATACAATGACTTTTGCGACTTGAGTGGAAAAAGAAGTCCCTTGACAATTTTCGGTGTGTTACCCAAGAGCCATAGTAGGTGCATGTGTGAAGTTTCGAAAGAATGGGCTCACAATCAGTGTCGCCTGAGCGGAGGAAAAAGTAAAAAATTCCTGAAAGATTTTTTGAAAAAATACAATGACTCTCCTCCAACGTGAAAGCAAAAAGAGGTCTATGGACAATTTTTGGAAAATAAGAAAGTAGCACTGTTCCATTCTTAACGTCGAATGAAAAAACTCCCTGACTTTCCCAGGTTCTCTCTGACGGTCATCGTCCTGCACAGGGCGGAAAATGAACTGAAATATGAAAATGCCCTGCCTTTCCGTAAAAAAAATCCCAGGCGGATTTTGGGAAAAATTTCCTGAATTTTTTAAAGTTAAAACAATAGCTCGACTACTTTCGGAAATGCGTTCTTTGCTCTGCAGCATTCATACAAAACTACAGACGTGTGTGTCCTTTCGGTGCATCTTGGAGAATAATACTTGCCCTTGCACATTTGCTAATATACAAATAGTTGCTTGGATAACCAGTAACACTCTACTGCGATCTCTTATAAAAATGAAGGATTCCCATGACCTCCAGCCTGATTCTTTACCTTCCCCTGACGTTTGCCACCCTGCTACACTGAAGAGGGGAAAGGTCGGATACAGAGGAGGGTTGCACTTTGCCACGTGCAGGCTGCTCGTTGAAATTGATAACAAAGCGATAGAAAAAGAAGACATGGGTAGTTTGGAGCGATCCTATTGCTTAAAATGGTTGATTCCTGTAGACTAAGGGAAAAGTGGTGGACTAACTATAGGGCCTCTCGAGGGTTGCCGTCAGTTAGTCTCTTGTCCACCTTCTGCGTCCATTCTGAAAACATTCTGAAGCTCTTTCGCTGCAGGTTACGTTAGAGTTCGAATCCTATCTTCCTACAATGGAAAAAGACATCGCGCACCTGGATGCAAATCCCACTCGCGGCTTTCGGCGCCCGATCACGAAAATCGAAGAAAAAGCTCCCGATTTCGATTTCCACGGGCGGCGCAACGAGAGCGCACGCTCCGATACCCGCGGAGGGGCCGGGATTCGGGGGCGGAGACGGGGGGAGGGAAACTGGTTGCTACCGCCAAGCGCGGGGGGGGGGGGG